AGAAAAGAAAGAAAAGAAAGAAAATGAAGCACAGAGAGGTATAGTCACTTTCACCAACACAGAGCTGGGGAGTGGCAGGCAGAGCTGGGATTTGAACTCGGAGACCTGGCTCTGAGCCCGTGATCAGAATTCCTGACACCACACCCATCAGTTTCAGTCCAATGTTCAACTCAGGGGCTGCCTCTCACGGTGAGCCCTCCCTGACCCTTCTGGCCCTCATGTCCTCACGCTTGATCTCCCCTAGGCTGGTCTCTGGCTATTGGGTGGGGCAGCAAAGAGTCCCTTCCCCACCAGGGCGGGGTAAGGGCAGAAGGCCCCCAACCCACCAGGCCCACAGCACCCTGTTGGAAGTCCCCTGCCAGCCGGGCCTGGCTCGGGGAGGGTCTTACCGCTTCATGTGGTCGCTGGCCACTCCTTGTATGTAAACAGACATTCCCACTCTGAGTCCGCCTGGGATGGGCTTGCAGTAGGGCAGCGTCTGGAGAAGAGGCCTGGTGAGGGGACTCACAAGCCATCTCCCTGTTGCAGCCTTTACCCCTCCCGGAAAAGCCCCCAGTCCTTTAAGCAGGGGAGAGGAAACCACAGGGGAGGACCAGGTTGAAGATGATGAGGGCCAACAGTTAGACCTGGACACAGACAGCCCGAGGTCAGGGTGGGAGTAAATGAAGGGTCAGGGTCAGCTTTGGGTAAATGAGACCCCAGGGTCAGATGGGGCCCCCCAGGAGCAGGGTGAAGAAAATCGGCATCAGGGGGTGTGGATGGAGCTGCGGGGCAGTGGGGGCCTGAGCCAGCGTCTCACCGGGTTGTAGGTGGGCTGGTAGCCCGGTGCAGGGACAAAGGCCATCGCTCCAGGCTGGGCTGGTGGCTCGTCCTGTGAGAAGAGCTGCAGGAGTGGGAGATGGTGGCATATGGCAGGCAGTGGGTGGCTCTTATACCCAAGGTAAGGGCGTGGCTGGCGGGGGAGGATCTACAGGGCCCCTCTTATGGGACTCTCAGGCCCTTGGCTTCTCCTAGAGCGCACCCTAGTCTCTCTTCCCTCGCCGGCTTCCCTAGTGATCAGCCAGGACCCAAATCAGCTGGGTCCCCTCCCCTAGGCCCCCCTACAAAGAGGAAGTGCTGATGAACTTCACCCCATCAGAGCCTTATCGGAGCCCATAAAGCCCTGCCAGGCTTTTGTTGGCAGAGGGAGGGTGAGACCAGGCAGGGCAGGGCAGGGCTGCTGGAGTGACCCAGGACAGCTGGGCAGCGGAAGAGGAGGATGTGGGGCGGAACCTCAAGTATCTGCCTCTCCCAGCAACTGTGAAGAGACTTACATTGATTGCATGCCCACTGCACGTCTTTACCAGGTATGTTGTACTGTAGGAAGAGTGGTTTAGATTACTAATGTCTGGAGCCAGAGGTTCTGGGTTCAAATCCTGCCTCTGCCACTTCTCGGCTGACAGTGGGTCAGTGCCTTACCCTCAATTTCCTCATGTGCCCATCTGTAAAATGGAGATAGTAGTAGTATTGGCTGTTGCAGTGGCTCACGCCTGTAATCCCAGCACTTTGGTTGGTGGAGGTGGTGGATCACATGAGGTCAGGAGTTCGAGACCAGCCTGGCCAACATGGCAAAACCACCGTCTCTACTAAAATACAAAAATTAGCCAGGCATGGTGGCGGGTGCCTTTAATCCCAGCTTCTTGGAGGCTGAGACAGGAGAATTGCTTGAACCTGAGTGGTGGAGGTTGCAGTGAACTGAGATCTGCCACTGCACTCCAGCCGGGGTGACAGAGGCTCAAAAAAAAAAAAAACAAAACAAAACAGAGGAACAAGTATTGAATACCTATCAAAATATTTGAAATATTTTAAAAATGAATTGTGATCCAGTCTGTATGTTAATTATAAACCAAATAAGAAGATCTAGCAGTGAGTCCAACGTTCAACAGCTACTCCAAAAAAAAAAAAAAAACTAGTATCAACCTTGGGTTGGGTATGGTGGCTCATGCCTGTAATCCCAGCACTTTGGGAAGCTGAACTGGGAGGACTGCTTGAGCCAAGGAGTTTGAGATCAGCCTGGGCAACATATCAAGACCCCATCTCTACGAAAAATTTTAAAAATTAGTGGGGCGTGGTAGCACACATTTGTATTCCTAGCTACTCGAGAGGCTGAGGCAGGAAGATCACTTGCGTCAAGGTTCCAGTGAGCTATGATCATGCCACCCGCACTCCAGCCTGGGTGACAAGGTTCCAGTGAGCTGTGATCATGCCACCGCACTCCAGCCTGGGTGACAAGGTTCCAGTGAGCTGTGATCATGCCACCGCACTCCAGCCTGGGTGACAAGGTTCCAGTGAGCTGTGATCATGCCACCGCACTCCAGTCTGGGTGACAGATGAAGACCCTGTCTCTAAAAATAACAATAACAGTCATCATAATAATCATAATAGTAACAACCTCATAGAGTCTTCGGTCATTAAGGTAATAAATGCTCAGAATAAGACTTGGCATATAGAAGTCGTTAAATTAATGCTTGGCGTCTGGCAGTCATTAGATTGGGTTGATATATGAATAAAAAAACCTGAAGTGTTTTTTTTGTTTGAGACGGAGTCTTGCTCCATCACCTAGGCTGTAGTGTAGCAGTGCCATCTCGGCTCACTGCGACCTCCACCTCCCAGCCATTCTCTCGCCTCAGCCTCCTGAATAGCTAGGATTACAAGCAAGTGCCACCACGCCTGGCTAATTTTTGTATTTTTTTTTTTTCTGAGACGGAGTTTCGCTGTTGTTACCCAGACTGGAATGCAATGGCACTGCTCACCGCAACCTCCGCCTCCTGGGTTCAAGCAATTCTCCTGCCTCAGCCTCCCGAGTAGCTAGGGACTACAGGAGCACACAACCATGCCCAGCTAATTTTTGTATTTTTAGTAGAGATGGGGTTTCACCTTATTGACCAGGATGGTCTCGATCTCTTGATCTCATGATCCACCCGCCTTGGCCTCCCAAAGTGCTGGGATTACAGGCATGAGCCCCTGCACCTGGCCAGAAACCAGGAAGTTTTTTGTTTGTTTGTTTTGAGACAGTCTTGCTCTGTGGCCCAGGCTCAAGTGCAGTGGCAAGATCTTGGCTCACTGCAACCTCCACCTCCCAGGTCAAGTGATTCTCCTGCCTCAGCCTCCTGAGTAGCTGAGATTACAGGTGCCCACCATCACACCAGGCTAATTTTTGTGTTTTTAGTAGAGACAGTGCTTCACCATGTTTCCCAGGCTGGTCGTGAGCTCCTGAGCTGACATCCACCCACCTCGCCCTTCCAAAGTGTTAGGATTACAGGCGTTAGCCATGTGCCCAGTACCCCAAAGTTTTAAAGAAATGAGGTGGCTGGCCGTGGTGGCTCATGCCTGTAATCCCAGCACTTTGGGAGGCGAAGACAGGAGGATCACAAGGTCAGGAGATTGATACCAGCCTGGCCAACATGGTGAAACCCCATCTCTACTAAAAGTACAAAAATTAGCTGGGTGTGGTCATGCCTGTACTCCCAGCTACTTGGAGGCTGAGGCAGGAGAATCACATGAACCCAGGAGGTAGAGGTTGCAGTGAGCTGAGGTCATGCCACTGCACTCCAGCCTGGACGACAGAGCAAGATTCTGTCTCAAAAAAAAAAAAAAAAAAAAGAAAGAAATGAGGCTCAAGATTTGGTAACATGGGAATCCCAGCCAGACACCAGCACTGGATCCCATGTGCTGTGGAGTGAGAGGTGCCAGGCAGGACGCAAACACCGCCCTCAACCCCTGGGCAGGCAGGGAGACCTGGTAGCCTTGCAACCTAGAGGCAGCTCAGTGACTTTTGCTCACTCCCTCCTTCCCCGGCTTCCTGGTGGCCCTTGCCTGCCTGCTGCCAGTCCTCCATCCCACCCATCCCATCTGTCCAATCTCTAGCCCCAACCCTCAGGGCTTTGGTCTCTGGAGCCCCCAGATACATTCCAGCCCTTCCCACTTCTCTTTCCAAGTAGGGCACCAGGTCTTTACTTTGCTTATTGTTTGTGGGTGAAGATAAGACCTTGGGCTTGAGGAAGTCAGTGTCATAAAGTTATAAACTGGGAGATGGGGTAAGAAGGCACAGAGAACAGTCACCGCCCATCTTCCCTTTCAGGGGTCAAGGTCAGCCTCCTGGCTGGGGCCTAAGGCGCAAGGGCTTCAGAGCTTGGAGAAGGTGACGCTTTTCAACTCCTTCTTCTCAGTCGCAGCCTGGAACCGACTTGATGAGGTCTTGGGTCTGCAGCATGCTCATGTTCCAGGACGCCTGGTGCCGAGCGCGGGGGGAAAGAACCGGTGAGAAGTTAGCAGGGGCCAATCAGGATAAGGCATCCGATCACCCTGCGCCTTGATTGGTCATCTGGGTTAGAGGAGGGCTGTGGTCGGAGCGTGCGCCTTACCATGTGGTTGAGGCCTTCAGCCACTGAATGGTCGCGAGAGTAGAGCAGATTGACCTTGATGCCCTGTACCGCCACGGGGCTCTTGCTGGAAATCTCAGCTGCCAGCGCTAAGGCTGCATTGAGCATGACTTCCTTGTCTGGGAACACCCGGCTGCAGCGAAAGAGATTGGGGCCCAGGCGGGCTAGGAAGGGCTCTCTCCCCAAGTCTCCCGCAGGTGAAGAGGACGAACTCATGGAGGAAGGCCCAAGACCTCAGACAACAGCCCAATAGGAGCAGGGGCTGACCTCGCAATAGAGAAATGACCTCTCCAAGAAAGAATGCCACTTGGAACTCTGGAGCAAGGAGACAAGGGGACCCAGAGAAGCCTCCACCCCTTCAGGCCTGGCTGCCCCCCAGCACTGAGCCACCAGGGCCAACCCCTACCTGACCAGCCCGCTGCCCAGGGCCTCATCAGCCATCATTTTGCGGGCGGTGAAGGCCAGCTCGGTTGACAAGGCTGCAAGTGGGGAGTGTGCATCAGGAGGTGGCTGCCACCTCAGGGCTGGGAGTCGCTCTGAGGTCCCCCACCCACGCCCCCGCCCCCACAACCTCTGCACCCACCTCTGGTTCCCGATGACCCTGGGCAGGCGCTGCAGTGTTCCTACATCGGCAGCCAAACCCATGTCACCTCCTGGGGAGGAATCCGGTCAGTGTTTGGTTTCTGCCCAATGCTGTGCCCCATGCAACCCCATGTCCAGGAAATTCCATGTTTACTGCAGAGGTCCCACTACCACCTCCGCCCCAGTGACTCCCTCCAAAGCCTGTTCCATTGCCCAGGCAGCTTCTTGACCCGGGCAGTTTCCTTCACCTAACAGAGCGCACCTTCCCATTCACCTGCCTCCCACTCCCTCAGAGCAGCTCTATCTATCACCAGAGAGGTACCCTCCTCACCCTACCCAAGACCCCTTTACTGCGCCCCCCCGGATCCATCCTGCCTCCCACCCTCACCACTATGGCCCCAGGGGCAACCCTGCCTCGGCACCTGCCAGCCTTAACCCCCGCCCCCATACCTTACCCACTCACACTTCACGTCTTGACTTCCTCTATGGCCAAGTCTTACTTTGTCAGGTTCAACTCTGACTCTTCCATGAAGCCCTCAGGGCTCACTCCAGCCTCCCAACCCCACCCCACTGCGCAGCTCTAAGCAGGAGCTCAGGAGGATGACTCACCTTCACCTGGAAGAAAGCGTCCTGGGCACAGTACCGGATGTCACAGGCGGTGACAAGGTCCACACCTAGAGGTAGAGGCCAGGGACGCTGAATGACCACCAGAACCACTCCCGCTCCTGAGACATGGAGCTGCTGCCTCTTGGGACACAGTTTGAGCTCTGACAG